CAATACAGTAAATAAATATAAGAATATTTACGTATTTGCAAGTCGTCATTGTATTCATTTCTGTCATTTTCACCACTTCAATATTGCCTTAATATTATACTCCAAACAACAGCTTATCATAATACGCATATTATATCACCATCTTGTTTTTTTCTAAATTGTAGTGTTTTTTGGGTTTTTTTTTAAATCATGGTATCATATGCTTGATAGTTTACAGTTCTTTTTGGATTTCCTGTCTCCATTTCTTTTGTGAATTGCCTGTTTTTGTAATTTTATTTTTACATGAGACAAATGAATGAAATGTAAATAATATATAAGTGATCTATTGATAATAAATTTTAATTACTTGTCTATGCTAATTTTTACAAATCACTGTCCAAATTATCAAATTTTATTTACAAAAAAATGTATGCAAAATAATTAAAGAGTTGAATGTGTCCACAAATTTTGCAGGCTGAAATGGAGGTACAGTATAACAAAAGAGATGTTAAAACCTTTGGTGCCATGTGCAGTATAGTCATGTACATTTTGAAAATGCATTAGATTATTGTTTAGGGGTAAACAATTGGGCCATGAGTGTGCTACTGTTCCCCTTGTATTTTGTCCTTTTTTGTTTGCAGTGTCTGTTTTGTATGTTTGCTATATTTCATGTTGTGCATGAGAATATTCCAACAGCTAACATTTTTTATTGAATCAGCTATCATTACCCACAGACCCCAAAGCACACACCCATTAAGTGTGAGCAATTTATCACAATTATTTGTAAACATTTCTCTACTCTAGGGAGTGAATTCAACTAGCAAGATTGTAACTGAGGTAACAGTTGTCTAATGTGTAGCAGCGTTTTCTTGTAAGCCTGTCGTCATCTTCATTCAGCTAAAAAGTGCTCCAAGTGTATTTAAAATTTTTAGTGTTATTATTACATAATCAATTTAAAGAATATAGTGTAGTATTGTATTTATAGAAAGTAAACCCAAGGTAACGTTTTATAATATTTTAATTGTTATCTAATACTCTATATAAATTTAATCAATGGAGAAAAATTGAAAATAAAATTGGTAATGCAAGAGTTATGAAAATATTTGACAATGTGAAAATTTAAATATATTACTTTGACTTCTCATCAGGAGTCACACTACCACACGGTTTTGAATATTTAGATTAATTTCATAGACAAGTTATGGAAAAGTTATGGAAATTGTTGTAAACCAAGGTGTGTATGAACCCGTTTCCAAAATTTATTTTGCTTTACATGGCGATACTGACTTCCGGGAGACGGCAAGCATTTCAAAGATGCTAATGTTGAACCGCATAAGCTGCTTTACTTCAGTTAAGCCAAATTTTAAAAATGATTGTGCTGGCCATGCCTGACCAACCAAAAATGTTTGAAATTGAGGGTTGGGTTTTTTTTTTACTACAACAAAATATGTTTTGTAATGAGCCAAAAAGGCTGGAATAGGCTTATCTTGCGAGAGTAGGCGATGCGAAAGTGTTATGCCATCGTTTGCTCTTCATATAGATTTTAAAATCGTCTTTGTTGTATTTTTGTGTATTTTATTCTTTTTAGGCATACATAAAAAAAAAAAACGAAACAAAACTGTTTCCTACTAATCTACCCATTTCTTGGATTTTCCCAAAAAGTGGCCAACACAAGAATTTTTTTTATGGCTTTACTGGTGCTCTCCAAAAACACCGATAATGGTTTTTTCCTAATTTGATAAATAAACTTGTTTATTTTTCTGTCAATGTTTGATTTACTTTTTTCTTGTACAGTACATTTTGATTTGCTTACTGATAAATTTGCTTTTAACACCAATAGGATTTGACCATGTTTTATAATCAGCAATCTACAGTTCAAGTGCTTAATGTAAGCACCGAGCAAATAACAACTAAGGTCCCTTGCACGTTGCCATGCCATCATAGTTGAAGTAGTTGTACTTGTACTATTATGAAGAAGCACAAGTTAAGTGGGTTTATAACATGCTTAAATAGAGCCTTGTCATTTGATTGGTGGATTTTGTATTATGTGACATTGCCCAAAACGCCTGATGTTATTTCCAGGAGTTTAGAAAACAAAAATTGTTGTCTCGATTTTCTGTACATGAATGAATTAATTTTTCTAACTAAAAAAATGGACTTAGCATTAGTCAACTTTTGTTCTAAGACGAATAATTTGAATTTGACTTAGCTGACGTTGACTGACACACTTGTTAGCTGCATTCGGTAGAAGAAAAAAAGAATATTCTCAATATCATTTATATAATAATTTTATTAATTCTGCAAGTATAAATATAAATTGGTAATATAGTATAAAATATATTTTACAGTAGGTGATTTTGTAAAACATTCCTACTTCAGGAAGCATAAGGTTAAGCAACTTTTCATTATTGAATAAAACAAGTGCAGTATTATTTTCTTTTAATAACAATGGCTTTCACCCTAGAACAAAGCCTTCCTCAGCACCTTGCCTTCTCTTGTGTAAAATTCGATTTCCTGAAATTCTGTGCAAATCTCTTATGGATTCAGTACCAAGATCCTCTCCTATATTAAAGAATATCAGAATAAAAAACCAAACACATCAGTTAAATACCGGTAAATGAAATGGCACTGAATACATTCAAAATCATCAAGCTTGCTATTCATAAGGTTCATCAGTCATAAAATTAACTTACTACCCCATACCACACAGAGGGTCGCAAGACAAAATGAAGAAAATGGTTGGCTGTTCATGAAATAGGGGGAGGGGGGCAGGCACAAACTTTATAAAAGTTAAGTGGTGAACACCAGTTTGAAGAATTTAGTGGCAAAATGGGGAGGGTATGTCCCCCATGCCCCATCACTGGCTAGTTCTAATGTAGAAAAAGGTTCATTAATTCTTTTATAACAGGACCAGCATTCATAAGGTTCGCTAGTCATAATCAATAAAATAAATTTTAAAATAGTTTTGTCATTGCTTTGGGAAAAGCTAATAATAAATTATTTTATCATTATTCTTGATTTTGTTACTGATTATTAATATTTTTCTTACCTGAGAGAACATGATATTTTCGCATAGGCTTTGAAGGTCTCTGTATGCCTTCTCCCCGTTGTAAACCAAGCCTAGAGTGAGTTTCAGCATAAGAACTCCAATAATTCAGTTTATTTCCTTTACGAGTCAGCACTGCTTGCATATCACTTCCAACCAGGCTGTGACTTCTATTAATGAGTGCAGGATACCTTAAAGATGATGGCTGTAACCATAAAATAAAGTCTATAAACTACCGTCTTGAATTGGAAAGTATTACAGTAAGCCTGTTTTCCATCAAGTGAACTTAAAAGCATTTGTTCGCTTCCTATGATTGGTTGCACCTTTATTCGCTTCGCAAAAAGTAGAAACAGTTTGAAATACTGATTTCGCTTTGGCTTAAAAAAATTCCCATAGAAATGTGAATGCACGTGCGCATGGCATGAACCAACGCTTTTGATTCATTCGAATAAATTCACCTAGTGGAAAACAGGTTTAATCAGTATTTGAAACAAAGGGTTCATACAGGATTTTCATTAATTCAGCATCCTCCATGAAAACTTTCTCAAAGCCAAAAAACTTTTCTTATCAAATATTAGTTGACTTTCAGTATCATATATAATTATAAATGCATTATTTTATTCCCCTGTATGTTTTTTGTGTCTATTTTTGTAAATTTTACCTATTGTTTTGATACACTCGCTACAAGTGTCAAATATGTATGTATTCTTTTTATTACCTCACTTGGAAATCCTTTTTGAGCACTCCTTTTAATCAAATCAATTTCTTGCCCTCAAGTTTGTTGATCTTTTGGCTTTTTTAAATTTTAAATTTTAACAACTTAATTTTATTGTTGGATTGTTTGATTTGGAAGAAATTAATGTTTATTTGAATTGACTTGCTGAAAAATAATTATAGTAAAAGTTTATGGCACTATTGTTCCCCCCACTTCCACAAACAGTTCTTTAAATATCATATACAGTAATCAGTAAAGATAACCAGCCAAAGATTAACAATGGATTTCCATGGCTCAGCACACACCCAGTGGGTCTCAAGAGTTTAGTTGACTGGCTAAGCTGCCCTCTTGTGAAATTCTCTCGTATTACACTTTACTTACATGTTCAACAAGTTTGTCCGAAAAAGATTTCTTGTAGAAAGTACCGAAGTACCTTTTGTCGCTCATATTGATATCAAAATGAGAAGCGTGAAGTGTTGGACATCGACCTGACCTCATTCCTGCTGGTAGAGTTTTTGAACCTGCAAAAGCCTGCAATAAGAATGTTTGAGTTATTTACTATGTATGAGGTTGATTAAGAAGTTCCTTTTAAACTAAGCCTACGCCGCACCTGAGCCTAAAAAAAAATTATATTAATGAATAAAAAAATGTGAGGTAAAAAATAATAGACGATGGTGTTTTGCCAGAGGTTCTATTGGAAAAAAAAAAATTATGCAGAAAATATTTGAAACAATGCAATAAACATTCATGATTAAAACAATTTACAGTAATAGGACCTACAGTACTTTATACAATAATTATTAACATTAATATTAATTTATTTATTATAATAAATATTATAAATTTAAATTTTTTAATATACAATTAATTCTTCCATCATGATCCAGCCATGCCTAAAATTAAAATGACAGTGTATGGTCAGCTATGACTCGTATATTCTAAACATGAATTACTGTATTTACCGATTTTGAGGACGTTTTGTAGAATGTGCTTGCATCTGGATCTGGTGATTCTAAATTAAAATTGATGGTTGTGCGATGCATCCATCTTTTTGAAGTTGGTTCCCGCATAAACATCGACGCAGACTTCCTCGTTTGGGCTCTACGTTCTTCATAGGGAGTTATCACCGTAATGTTTTCTGATCTGTTTGACAGAATTGTACCAGTAGAATGTCCCTGTCTGGACACATTCTGAGCATTAGCCATCGGCTAGCAGAGTCAGACCCTGACTGCTACTTGCACTAAGTCACAAATCTGATTGTACCAAAGTGGAAAGAACACCAAAACAAAGAAAAACCTAAATTACGCTACAGCCACAACTCACTTCAATACCCAACCCTTGTTTGGCAGCAATTAATGAAAGCGTGGTTAACAACAACATACACTACCAAAACAACATCTGTTCAAAATTTATGTTATATAGAAAAGAATTATTTGTTAAAATAACTTCTATTTAAAAAAAATTAAATTTAAAAACGGTTTTTACACAGCAAATATTTTTATCAATAATAAGTTAACATACATTTTCATTTTAATGGTAAAATCTTTTATCTATGAAAAACTTTAATATTATTTTGTCTGCTTATTCTTTACGTTTTGTAGCACGAGCGCCCCCTTGGCAACGATCACAAGTGTAAATAGATATGTCCGGAGTAGTCAAAAAGGTCCCAGTAGGTACTTCATTTTAACTATCATGGAGGAAGAACATAAAGAGGAGGTAAGTTATGTCACTAAACAATACTTAGATCTTAGTTCTGTGTTTTGTGAAATACTTGTAAAATGAGTAAAACTGAAACAAGCTTTGCTATTTGTGTAGCTAGGCCTAGCCCTAGGCCTCTAGCCTAGACCTGGCACTAGGCCTAGCTAGCTAGCCTAGGCTAGCTAGCAGTAGGGCCAGGCGGCTAGGCCTAGCCTAGCTAATTTAATTAATTAGAAACCATAATTATGGAATAATAAATGGCTTATATGAAAGTCAGATCATCAAAGAACATGTTAGTGTTGAATAATTGTAAGTTTTAAATATCAATTTACAATCAATTATACAATTACAGACAGTGTTAAATAAATAACTGGCATTAAATAAATTAATTAAATATATGTAGGCCCCTTGCCTTGGCCTATATATCGTTAGGGCGTATCCTAGGTAGAACAGGCCCAACTAGGCTATCCTGCCTGGAGTTGTAAGGTCACAGAAATAGCCTAGACACATTTAGTTTTTTTTTTTTAATTTATAAATTATGTGTTGACTTGCCTAAATATTTAAACTGAATTTGTTTTAAAATCATTGCAGCCTTACAATAATTTATGTACTATAATGCTTTCTATTTTAGATGCCTGTAGCAGTTGAGGAACCACACGTTACTACAGAAGAAACACCCACCAGTCAACAAGAGGCCCTTACAGAACTGGAAAATGTCAAAGACACTCCAACAGCTGAGGTTGAAATGGCATCAGATGAGAAAAGTGTACAAGACTCTGAAACAGGTTAGTTTTGTTTGACATGGTAAATATCGGTAACTACATTCCTCATAAAATTTATGTAAATTATTGATCATGGGCTGTGTTTTTCATTTAGGTCTACAGTTACTTCTTTTGTTGTTTGATATTATTTTATATAGTCACAACAAGGATAGTTTAAGAACTCATCTAGGAACCATCCTAATCTTATACATAACAATATCATGTCACTAAAACTTGGATGATAGTTGGATGATATCTCACACAAGTCTAGTTGAGAGCATCTACGTCACGAACGCAGACCAGCCGTGTAGTTTCAGAAGTGGGTTATTTATTATGTAACTGATCAGTTCTAAAATTATTTAAAATTGTTAAACTCTCAAATTACTCATTTGCAGTTTTATAAACTATTATATGTAGGAGCGATTTTGGCATGAGTGCATGGGTGTAGACGGGAGGGTGCATAACCCCCGGGTGCATCCCCCCCCCCCCCCCCATGGCAGCAAAAAAGTTTCAACTAAGGTGGTTAAAACACTAAAAATGACCCATTAAGGTATTATTGGAATAGGATGTTAGTTCCGCATTTTCATTTTTTGCACCCAGTTACACATTTACAATTGAATTGTGTGAAGCATTTTTGTAAAATATAAAGTTTGGCAAACACTTTCTTTTAAATCCCTGTCTGAAAACAAGGAGGTGAAAAAGTTGCAGATGTAAACACTGATGCAGTAGAAGATGGCGATAATAAAGAATCAGAAGACCAAGAAGTCGAATCTAATGAAGTAAAGATTGAGGATGCACCAGCACAAGTAGCTGAAAATGGGGAAGTTAAAGATGGAGGTAATGGTGAAGAAAATGATGGTACTACTGAAAGGAAAGATACTGAAGGTGGAGACCAAACCAGCCCAGGAGAAGGTTGTAGGCCCTATTCTCTGTTTCTTGAAATTATCCGAATATTAGAATGCATGACCATATGAACATCATGACTATATATGGGCATACAATAGGGGTTTTTTTGTCAAATAAAATTTAAGTCTTGACATGGCTTTTTGTTATGACTTTATAAGGGTTTTGTCAGAGCTCACCTGATATTAAAATTTATAATTGCATTAAATCTAATTTACACAGAGGAAAATGAAGAGGATCAGGTGACAAAGGCTGGGTCACAGCCTGATCCACAACAGCAGACAGCTGAGGAAGAAGAACCCAAGTCCCCCTTACCAGAAAGCAGTACTTTTGGTGAGGGTGAAAGGCCTGAGACACCAGTTGTTGCTGTTACTGATCCACTGTCTAGAGAAGGTAGCCCTGTTCAAGAACCACCTCAAGCAATTCCACCAGGAACACCTGAAAGAATAAGTAAGTTTAGTAAGTCGCAGACAGCTGCTTTAATAAACTGAGGCTTCACATCTCATGGCGGTATTATAGTACCTCCATGGCCATCCCAAAACCAGCGTACTGTTGCTGATTCGTAAACTGAGTACAGAAATTAGCATACGAACATGGCAGTATTGTATACATTAGTACTGAGATGCTGTAATACTTTTACTCAAACCTTTGGCAATGGTAAGTGGATTCCAGTAACTGACACATCATATTTAAGCTTTCAGTCTAGCCCAGCCCAGCCTAGCCTAGACTAGGCCTAGCCTACCCCGCCCATGGTGTGGCCGAGGCTAAGTGGATAATATAAGAATTTTTTTTTTGGTCAGTGATGCTGGTGGTATTTGGATGGCAAGTCTCAATGTGATTACATAATGATTTAGCCCAAACACTCAACATTTTTTATTTATTTATTTCTTCAATAACAGGATCTCCCGTCATAGAAGAAGATAGATATGAAGAGGAGGAAGTAGAGGAAGAGGATCAGTTGGAGCCAAGAGAAAAAATTGTAGAACGCTATCAAGTAAGATTTTTAACTCCTGTATTTTAAATAGGATGAGATTTTGTTTAGAAATCTGCAGGATTTTTATCGCACTTGTAGAGTCTTCAACATTTAGGAAGCCCTGGAGAACAGAGCATTGAAAATGGTCTTGCTTCTTTTGCCGATTTCTTTTTGAGTTTTCCACATGTAGGAGGGAGGCATTTATTTTTTTTGGATTTAAAATGTATAAATATTTTTTTAATTTAATTTCACTGTAAATGTGGAACTGCAACAACAAAAATTACCGTGTCAAAATGCCTATTGTGTGATCATACTTATTGATCATACTTAATAATAATAATAATAGTAATAGTAATAATAAAAATAACAATAATAATATAAGTAATGAACATATTTTAATTGTTAATTATTTTTGTATTTTCACACACATATATATATATATATTTTTATAATGTATTTATACTGCTAGTCCATGTTTCCCCCATTGCTTGGA